ATAGCATCTGCCAAAATATAACCTTATTTTATGTTTCCCTTAGAGTCTAGAAAAAGTAATAATCCAAGCAGTGAGTATTTTCATTATAAAGACAAAATTGAGTGATTTTTACCTATGCATTGTGAATGTACTTTTAACAGGCTGCATGAAGTTTGTATTAAGAAAGCAAATCAATCTGTTACTGCACATCTAAGATTTTTAGACAAAAAATAAGACAGTAAAACAATGCTTTTCATTTAAACAAAAATGGATAAGCGTAATAATATATCTTAATGTAAACTAGATAAAAAGCCACTTATAGTTGAGCTAACTACAGTCTGTAGTAGCAATAATAATTTTACTTATTTAATTGGAAGCCATGAAGGAGTCACGGAGATTTCAGAGGGAAGGGGGAATTATGTTTAATTAGAGTTTAACACTTTTCAACTGAGATGTGATTCTATTATTTGGAATGGCTGGTAAAATTCTGCCTGTGTTCTGAGACTGTTGATTGTTGGGAAGTGACAAAGACAAAAAGTGATAGAGGAGTGGAAAAGGTAAAGAATTAAGCAATTCATTAATTTTTGTTTTGTTACATTTCAGATCTTACTCTGCATGTATTTTATGTATTGTTTACTTATTTGAAAACTTATAGAAATAAAGCCGTAATTAAAAACTTGTGTGTGTGCAATGTGTCACTTTGTATTTGAGTGCTACTCTCTCTTCAGTACTTTTCTATTCAAACAAATAAATTTGGGGTTGTGGTTTTGTATGGAGACCAGAATAAAATCACCATGTTGGGTTGATAAAAGCCTCTCAGATATTTTGATGGAAACTTAAAGCAGAATTTGATTTGCAGTTCTTTGACACATGCGAGGTTCCGAAGGGAGTTTGACCTGGCTGCTCGTTTTATGAAAAGTCCAGAAATAGCATATATTGTCTGGTAATAGTTTGCCTTAGAGTATGATGACTACCTGCCTGTATTTTGACAGCTGTTGTGTTTCATACAGAAGTTCTCATTTTCTTCCTGGTCTGTCTTTATTTGATTATTGTTTGGGTTATTAAGCTGCAATGATTTACTGAATTTACAATTCCATCTTAGACTCACATCACAATGTCTTTCTAATGTGACTGTTCTATGGCCAGAGCTGTCCCCACTGTAGTGCAAATACCTGAATGTTTCTGATGCCTAGTGTCTGTCTCAGGGAGATACCACTGGCTCTTTGAGGAAACTATCTTCTCAGCTACTTTATATCGAGCTCAGTGTTTTTCACTCAAACTTTTTAATCATTGCTACAGGAATGCTAATGGTGTTTGAGTCTCGTAAATAGGATTTTTAAGATTTTTTATTTTTTTTTAGCATTTCTTGCTGATTTCTAGTTGCTTGGAATTTACATTGATTATGGTAGATTTCCACTCATACAGTTTTCCAAGAGAAAGCTGGTTAAAGGCAACTTGAGTTTCTAACCTATGGCATCCAGCTGTCTCCCTGCATGAGCTGATTGGTCTTCTGTGGTTGGGATACTTTACTTCTGCCTTCTTTCAAAACGTTTCTAAATGTGTATGTGCAATTATGGCCTTGGGCTGCCTGATGAATGAATCCCACTGTTGTAAAGCATGTTGTATGTTTTATTGGTATTCATACTAGTTTCTGTATTCCCAGAAGCAGCACATTTTCTGATTCTGCCTGCAAGTTTGAGAGAAAAATTTTTAATTTCCTGAGTTATTAAAAATAGCCAGAGGCTGGAGTTGGTGTTAAGCTTGATTTTCTCATTAATTTTAACAGTAGGTCAGATCAAATGTACATCTAATAATGGTTCACAGCATTTAGCTTCTTTTTAAGATGATCATAGAATCACAGTGGTTTATGATGTGAACAAGGTAAAATTAAACTATGCACAGGGTTGATTAAACTTCTCTTTAGTACAATTAATTTTTTTAACTGACCACATCTTGCAGTCTGGATACATATGCTGTGCGTTTTGTTAGGTTGGGTAGTACTTTCTGTATGCTTATACTGCTTGTGATCTTAATAAATTCCTATTGAATTTATCTATCTTAAACGAAGAGGCATGTTGCGTGGAATGTGTCCTCTAGTCATGAATGTATTCTTATACTGGTGTCTCTGAAATGTGCTACATAAAGAATTTCTTCAGCACTCTGTAACATTAGTGAATACCATTTCTTTGTGGATTTGGAATTACTAAGAATTTGATTGTTGTAACACAAATCCTCATGTTACTAAAGTGATTTTTGCTTAATTTTTCTACTATCATATATTCTTTCTGGTTTTGAGAGTACCAAAAGAGCAGTGAAAAATATTGCCCTGAAAAAGAAATATACTATAAAGTGAATGTATTTGCAAAATCTAAAAGTTTTATACTTCTTAGTGAGAATAAAGTTAGCATTTCATTGTCATCTAAATAATTTAAATGAGGCTGTAACAACTTTCTAAGAGTTTTTGATGCAGCCAAGTCAAAAATTGATTCAGCCATTGAAAAATTTCTGGTGACTATAATGTAAGAAGTGGGGGTTTTTTGAATGTTGTTCTTCTACTTTACTTTATGTTGGTGCTCCTTGTTTGTAAGTGCTTCCCTAATGTTCTGAGGGAACAGAGTTTTCTGGAAGCTGAAAAAGAAAGGAAGGAAGAAGACTCTTTTGGAATGTACTGTCAGTACATTCATGTACCACAAAACGACTTTGTGTAACAGCTGCAGATGTTCTAATGTATGATATCAGCAGTCATGCACATGATCTGTAAAAAATATTTTCTTTATCATAGTGCTTTATGGAGAATAAATATTCATTTTATTATGACTCCTGGATTTTAGGCTTGCAAACAATAGGAGTGTGTTTGTGTAAGTTGTGTCATGTGCTAAATAAGCTTCCTCCCCCATCAGTCCTGTGGTAACACTGTTGATATTCTTCTATCATCTTTTAGGCAGCTCCCTGCTTCATTTATCCCAGAAGAATGCTAAGCTATTAATTGTGTTCAAATGTGTAATATCATAACAAAATGAATTTTAATGACTTTTAAAAAGTCATGAACTTTTAAAGAGATGTTAGTGTTGGTGAGACAGGCAGGTTACTAATGGAAGATGATTTTTTAGAAAGCTGATTTTACATACATACAAGGATCTAATTGGACATCTTTTTCAAACTTTTGTGCATACCTATTGCAACTGCTTGCTTATGTGACCAAGAAATTTAGGAACTATTGATTGTGCTTTTTGGAAGTCTTAATGCTCTATGCTAGTATGTGCCCATCGTAGGCAGAAAAAGGTAACTGTTGTGTCTTTATGCTTGAAGTTTTAAATAACTATTACATTAAATCTGTGCTAAATATGACATCAGAGTTGCCTGATATTTGTAAGATATTTCATATGATTTGAAGTAACTTATTAAAATTTTAAAGAAAAGGGCTTTTTATGTGCTTTGTTTTACGAAAGTTTGAATCCAAGGAGTACATACATTGTTTTAGAAGTTCTACTTAGAGCTACTTGTGTCTTTTGTTGACATCTGTTGTTTAAAAATATTTTAAAATAAATATTTATTTCATTACAGATGGAGGAGTTTGACACCAGTTGGGCAGCCTATACCAGGAACTAGATTTATTGCGTTCAAAGTACCTTTAAAAGGGGTATGTATAAACAGTAACTACACGTTGTCTTTACTAAATACAGTACAAAAGTAATGAAAAATAGCATTAATATTCACACAAACGTCAGGAAAGATTTATGAAAAAATATTTTGTTTAAATAATCAAGTCAGTCTCCTACCAGTGGCTTTATTTACATAATGGTCTATTTTTTTTTTCCACTCTTTTGATGTATTTAGTGTTACTCTTTTTATCTTCTATAAATCAGACAATCTCTAACCAATCGGTGAAGTCATTTGATCACTAATTTAGTGGCCTAAATTCAACATCTTATTTAGCATCCTTTCATGACTGTTAGAAGAAAAGTCTCATTATTACCATGGGAGGTGTTTGCGATATGAATAACAGTCTAGGCAGTGTAAGCCTAAATACCATTTTTCAAAGATGAAGCACTTATTAAAATACACTTACTGATGCAGTACTTTTAAAATTAGAGATTTAGATTACTGGTAAGCTTCAGTGATATGGAGAAACACAGTATTCATAGATTTATTCTATTTTTGTGTTAGTAACTTCATTAGATCCTTAATAACATGGCATAGAGCCTTAGTGCATTAAATACACTAAGTTAGATCTCTAAATTTTTTTGTGACAGAACAAAATATGGAGAATTCAGTTCTTTGGTGGGTTGAGGTACATGGTTGCAAATTTGCCTTTCTGTATAAATTAACACAAATGCTGTATAAATTAATTCATACAAGTTCTTACTTCAGATACACAGGAAAGAAAAGTTTCTAAGCTCTTAATATTCAGTGGCTATACATAACCATAGCAGTTAAAAGTAAGTATTCTGTCTAAACTGTTGTCTACTGATTACACTCTAGTATTCATGCAGTTAAAAACATTTTTTTTTCTTCTGGCATATTAGTGCCCATTACATTTTCAGTCACCATTCAGTTCACCTCTGTTAGCAAAGACTGAAGTGGAATGCTTTCAGGGTTTACTTCCTTAGCTGCTTTCCTGGCGTGAGTATGATGGTTTGGTTGCTTTGACACCAAAGGTCTTAGTTGGTCATACTTACTCTGCATGATTGTAAAGAATAGTATAGGTATAGTAGCCATGTGCCTTTCTACCAAGACTGCCAGTGGGTAGAGCTGCTTATCAGTAGAAATCAGATTCAGTAGATTTGTAATTAGCTTCTCTATTCTTGGGATGGGAGAGATTTTTTGCATCATCAGTTCCTGTAATTCCACTTGATCCAGTACCAATTTTTTTCATAAACACACTGTTCTGGGCAGGATTTTTGTACTCCATATATTTCTAGTTTCCCAGCTGTAGTGGAAATGCAGAGTCACAGCCTGAAGCAGTGGCACCTGGTGGCAAGGCAGGGCCAACCCAGAGGAGCTCAGGTGCATGCAGTGTACCTGAGTGACTGGAAGGGGTGGAGCCTGGATCCACCCCTTGCCAGAACTCATTTAAGGGTTGGCAGTGGAGGTGAAGGCATCTCTTGCCAGAGATCCCTGCCTGCCTAGGAGCTTTTTTCTTTCATTTCTGCGTCTGTGGCTGCTGTATTTGGGCTTGTTCCCATTCGCTGTAGCCAAAGACTTTGCCACCCTGCCATTATTATCCCATTATAGCATTACACTGTCACTCTAGATTTCTAGAGGAAGGTACTTTGTTGTTAGTTTAGCCTTCCCATGTAGTTCTCTGTTAGCCTGGAAGGAGCTCCACCAGAGGTCATAAAAAGGGCAGGTAAACTGAACAGGATTTCTTTGAGTACTTCAGAAAATCTCAAATAGCTTTTCATAACACAGTTAACTGTTCACACAGTGAAGCAAAATGTTTACAGATGTCTTACTTCTGTAGGATGTATTTTCACTTGATTTTAAGTGTGAGTTCACATAGCAAAAAAAGAAATTCTTACAAGTTCTGCCACAGACTTCTGCAGGTTAGTAGTTGTCACCTCAAAGTTCGTGAATTCAGTTTCAGATTTTATTAAAAAACAGTTCTGAGTAGTTGAGTGATAATTGTGACTAGTCTTTGTTAGGTTTGGTCATAGACAACCTCCACTGTTTTTCAGCAGTACACCAATATTTGAAATACTCAGGAGTGAATACTTCTATGCACTTTCAGCCCTACTGTTTCAGTGCAAGCTTTCTAATCATATACCAGCTTTGATAGATAGGAATGTCCTGCTGTTCATTCTTAAATTAGAATGCCTCTCTCTGTTTCCAGACTTAACTCAAAGTGCTTGCTAGCATCTTAGATTAGAATCTGTACAGTCAAAAGATGGAATAGTTAGTTAACCTATAGCATCTGTGGTTCTGAGAGATGTGTGGTCTGTGGCTGCCTTCCTTTCTATTAGTTCTGAGTCCAGTCTACTTGAATTTCTTATTAACAAAGGAACTGAGAGGTGGTTGAGGCTGCTGCATCTGTTTTGCCACTGTTTATTGGTGGTGACAGAGCCAAAAGGCTCTCACAGTGGACAGCGCACTATTCAGAGAAAATCCAGATTTGTGCACGAGGCATTTTCATACCTAGAGCGGAGAACACATTTCAGAAACCACAGCTACAATTTTCACTACGGGGTGAGTAAACAATTTTTGCGCTGTGTCTGTCAAATGAAATGAATTATTCATTATCCACCAACATGCCACTGTATTTTAGTCTTATTTAACATTTCCCAGTGCTACATGACATGCAGGTACTTTCTGACAAGAGTTGAACCAGAGATTAAAAATGCTTGCCTAACATTTGTGGGGGGAGAGTTAAAGCCTTGAGAGTTAGTGAACTCTGGCATCACAACTTCTGATGTTTTATGTGAAGTACGCTGTTAATGTTGTTCTACTGTGCAGGACAAAAGAAGTTTTGGGGGAGGGATTGCAGTGTTTTGAGTTTCCTTGTTTAGTTTGTTACTTAATCAGTATGTATATAAAATTATATGCTGCATTTTGCAAGGTTTTTTGTCTATTAAATTAGTGCTTTTTTGTTTATGTTGTGTAAGTGAAAGTTCCTCCATGTTTTCATGCCTTTTCATTGGAACAGGAACAAATTTTTACCTTGTTTTTCATCTGTATAAAACATGGATATGCTTTTGATACTGTAAACGTTCCATTTTGAAAACTGCTCTTTTCCTATTGAAATAAGCTGAATATAACAAATGTCGTCTTATTAGAACTCAAAAAGCAAATGATCCTTTTCCATTGTTATTGTAGGCAATTAACCAGAGGCTTACCCCAACCCAGAAATTTACACCAAAAGACTTAATTGCTGCAATGAAAGCCCTAAATGTGGAGCTCGGATTAATTATCGATTTAACATATACCACGCGATACTATGAAGTTAAGGTACTGTAAGAGTAACAGCAAATTTTGTAATAGTTACTGCCATCATTGTTTTTGCATTTTGTGGTATTTTTGCGTTTACTCGCCTTGAATTGGAATAGACAAGTTGAGCCATCTAGACTTACTTTGTCTCTAATAGAAACAAAATGCTTTGTGACAGGAAGAAGCTCCTCCTACCTGCTAGTTACATCTGTGACTCATTTGTGCTATGGTAGCTCAGAATAATGGATGAAGACTTCAGTGCTAGGCACTGTAGGAAAGAGATTGGAGGCATTTTCAGTGGAATCCACTGAGAAAAGGATACATCTTAAAATTGCTTCCTTCATGACAGATTTGTTACTAGTTGACCAGCTCATAGAATTTTAATTGCCTCCTATTGAAAAGGAGAATAAGTACCAGTGTTATAACTGAATGTTGATCTTCAAATGTACATTGGCTTGATACACTAAGGGGACAGATGTGTGAATATGATTGTGGTTCAGCAGGGTAAATGTTTCTAATAATTGTTAAATGTGTTAGAATGGAATTAAAATAATCTGCTCTTTTTAATTAATTCATGTGCCATCTTATTTTTAGGGATAAGTAAATGTAAAGACCTCATCTGAGAGAAGAGTTTCTGTACAACAGAAATGTAAATATTGGTTTCTGAGAATGTCTCTTTGTAAAGTCATGTCATGATTGTTTTCAGTTTCTGTGTAGCACTGGAACTGCTGTTTTGCATCTGATATTTTAAATACTGCTTAGGGTTTTCATTAATGCAAGATTTCAGTAATTTTTACCATGTTTTTCTTCTTGTTTCTAGGATTTACCTAAAAGTGTGCAGTATAAGAAACTTTATACGGTTGGACTCGAAGTTCCTGATAATGCTACTATTCTACAATTCAAAAAATGGGTCAGAAAATTCCTATGGGAAAATGCAAGAAATGGTAAATATCAGCATCTTATGCTGCAAAAGATTAAAAAAATAATAATAATAATACTTTGGCACTAGCTGCATCATTTATTAATAGATCCCTTAAGGCATTTGGGACTCCAGATGTCTTAAAGCACTCCACAGCACTTTCCAATTTATTATTATGTGGTGGTAAATGTAATATACATTATCTCTTGTATTTATAACATACTTTTCTCAATAGTAACAATTCACTTCTTAAAAGCATTATACCTCTATCTGTCATGTGGCAAAGCAACTCCAAGTGAGAAAAACTTGCTTATGAATTTCTGGTAATTTACAGACCACTGCGGAGCAATACACTTTTTTTTGCTATAATTGCAAGTATTTTTGTACTCTTTGATCCCAGTGTAGTTAGGCTTCTTTATTTTCTCCTTTTTGTAAGTTTTAAAAGAATTTGTACATTAACTTATTTAGTGTTACATTTGCTAGTTGATCAAGGTTGCTTTCAAAACCATATTTTTTTCTTTCCTATTACTGCAGTTCTGACTGAAGGCTGGCAGTTTTCTCTGATATCATTCCTTTTCTGTTCTGTAGAGTTAATCTCAGTCTTCATGGGTTTGGAAGTAGTGAGTTAACTGCTGCTAGAGATCTGGCATGAAGAAGATTGTCTGGATGTGTTTGTTATTTTACAAGCATGACAGTATCATTCTGTAAATAACAATAATGATTTACTGAAAAGTACAGCATTTTTTTGTCTTAAGCTAATTTCAGGTAATTTCATTTTCTGAACTACTAAAGCCTGTGCTTGTCTTTTTTGACAGAAAAACTCATTGGTGTCCACTGTACTAATGGAATTAATAGAACTGGCTACCTTATATGTAGGTAAGGGTTGGAAAAAAAAATCAGTATTTACAAAAAATACAGTAGCTTTATATTAGTCTATAATCCCTTTGGATTTTTCTTCAGGTACCTTATAGACGTTGAAGGCTGGGATCCAGAGGCAGCAATCCAAGGTATGTTACAAGCTTTGAACTCAGACAAATGTTGCGTTGTAATTCACGTTTAACTATAATTGTATTCACAAATGCTATAGTTCTGCTGTAGTGTGTTGTTCTGCTGTTGCATGTTGTTATCTTGTGTGGTAGTCTCCATAGAAGATTTTCTGCTGATTTTTCTTTCAAATGAGGTTTGAGCGTTAACAAACGGAATGACAAGAAGTCTCAGCTATTTAATTCTTTTTTCTTTGGCTTTTGCTCTGAAGAATTTTTCAGTTATAGGTTGCTACCATTACTAGTTTCAGTTTTTAAGAAAATAAAATTGCTTCAAAAATCACAGCTTGCCGCGGCATTTGTATTAATGCTATTTCTTTAGTATCTCATGGTGAATAGAAAGCTGCTATCTCATGTTTTTGTGACCCAGTTTATGCATGTGTCATTAGACTCGTTCTTCTTTTTCTTTAGCTTTTGGTGATGCTAGAGGTCATTGCATGGATGGTCTTGTATATCTCACAGATCTCAGGACACAACCAATGAGAAGGTAAGCAAAAGCTTTTAGTTGCATGCTTAAGATTTTCCAGAATGTATTTTTAAAACTTCAGTTACGTTTGTAAGTCAAAATTGTCCCTCTTAAACATTTAGTAAACAGCTACATAAATTTTGCAAGACTTCTGATATGAATAACATAAAGTACCCTTGTTTATACTTTGAATTTATATGGCTTTGATGTATACTACTGGGCATTGGTGCACTTGTATCATACTATCCCAACTGTATTGAATCTGTATTCTCATAAATTGAGAAGAGCTACCGCTATGATTTCATTATAAGCTCTGTGCTCTGCCTGCTGTTGATGGTGATTTAAAAACAAACAAACAAAAAAACCCAAAAAACACAACAAAAACCAGTCCTAGTGGAGAAAGTAAGGCGGGAGATTGTTCCCAAAGCTCCTGCTTTTAGTCTTTATGTTCCTGATGCTTATGGAATCTTTTGTCTCTATCATATTCACACCCCAGAGTACCTAAGAATAATTAACATTTACATCTCAGTAAGTTATTTGTACCAACTACAACTTGTAGCATCACACTGATTTTAAAATAATATCTGACAGATTTTGCTCATTTTAGTTTAGTGCCCTTTGTTCTTGTTTTACTGTGTTAATTGCTTTAGAGACTGAGTGTGATTAAGTTAGTTAGTTTGTGCTGAATTTTTTGAAGTATGGTGCTCATCTCACGTATTTTTGATGTTGTTTCAAATGTATGAAGTTTAAGCTTTCTCTACAGCCCTTCCTCACCTAGATATACAAGATTAAAATTTGATATGAAAACCTTGAATGTCTGTAAGTTTAACTTAATATTTTTAAGAAAATCAGTAATTCTCGACTGAAGAATCTTTGTGATTCTTTTTTCCTCTCTCAGTATGTTTGGGGGAAAAAAAAGGAAGCTTATGAGAGATGTTTTTATTCTTCGCAGTAACCTTGGAATGGATGTATGGGATTCAGATGAAGATATCGTTCCACCACCAAATGCAACAGAAGGACCTGTGGAACAATTCCCAAATGAAGATTTTCAGGGGTAATAAGTTGGAACCTGGAATGAAAAGCCAAAAATCCCATAGTGCAAAAGATGACTTTTCCTTAGTGTGAGCTGCTTTTATAGTAGCAATCCACTACAATGTTACAAGAGGATCAGCTGATTTTAACAATTAGATGTGGTGTTTTGAAACACTAAAAGCACTGAAATATTCTAATTTAGAAGAGATTTTGTTTTAATGTAGCCTACTCATGCAAAGTATATTTACAGAATTAGAAAAAGTAATGAGAAGATAAAGGGAAGACAGGGAATATATGCTATTAGGAATTGGTGAGCAGTTCTTTTGGGGAAAATGTTAGAGTTCTACTATGCCTGCTGGTTTTTATTATTCTACAGCAGTCTGCATTTTATTTTTAATTAATCCCATATCACTGGTTTTGCCTGATGGAATTATAGTTGAATGTTTGTCAGCTTCTAATGTGGCATTGTTTGAAAGTTTTATAATTTTGCTTAGAGTTTAGATTCTTAGTAACTTTGATACATCTATATTTTACTTGCAATGTGTTTCATATCAATTCTTGGATTTACAAAAAAAAAGCTTACTTTCATTAATAACTTGTACTTACAAGTACAGATGTTCTATTTAAGAAAAAAATTCTTTACAGGTCTGGGAAAAGATTAAGAGTTTATGATGACAACTCTCATAATAATTTGCAAGGACAAACACAACTGAGAGATTTTGATTTCGTTAATAAGGGACCTGGACGAAGACGAAGACCATTTCATGACCATCAGACTCAGGATGATTTGAGAGCACCAATGCAGATGAGAAATTGGGACTACAATAGGGGACCAGGACAGAGGCAAAGACCATTTCCTGATCACCAGTTTTACGATGATTACCAAGAAGACATACAGCTGAAAGACTTCAGTAACAAGGGACCTGGGCAACAGCTGAGACCTTTTTATGGACGCCAGTTTCGTGGTGATTTACAGACAGAGAGACAATCAAGGAACTTTGAATTTAACAGAGGCCATGAGCAAAGGCAGAGATCTTTTCCTGACTGTCCATCCCACAATGATTCACAGGAAGATATGAAGTCAAAGGATTTTGATTTTGGTAGCAGGGGCCGCGGCCAGGGGAAAAGGCTGTTCCACAATCACCCATCTCATGATCAATTTCAGACTCCAGTGCAGTCAAAAGAGTTAGATTGTGTCAAAAAAGGTCCTGGCCAAAGACTGAGACCATTCCATGACTATCAGTCACAGCCCCGGATGCAACTGGAAGATTTTGAATTTGTTAATAGGGGTCGTGGGCAGAGATCGAGACCTTTCCACGATCACCAGCCTCACAGTGACTTACAGACAGAGATGCCACTCAAAGATTATGATAATAAAGGCCCTGGGCAAAGGCGCAGACCTTTTCGTGACCATCAGCCTTATGATGACTTACAGGAGCAGCCTCAGTTAAAAGACTTTGATTACGTTAATAAAGGACAAGGACAAAAAAGGTCAAGACTTTTCCATGATCATCCTGTCCAAGACGACCTGCCACGTGAATGGTGTTCAGACAGGTACAATTGAAAGTACTGCAGATGCAGTTTGAAATAATTTTAGTTGATACTTTTCAAAAGCCTCCAGTAGTTTGTATTGCTCTTTATCTATGATTATTTTGATTATCCTCTAACAGTAAGAGCAGAACTAGCAGCACTTCTAAATTAAGTTTTAAACTCTTTTTTAAATACGTTTATTTAAAACAGTCATCTGTTTAAAATTACACATGAATGATCAGTTAGTTAACAATCAACTTTTTATTTTGAAATGCATTTGACCTAAGTTTCAGTGTTGTATATTTGAAAGCACCTTACCTAAACTAAAAGATTGTGCTTTTTTAAAGCTCGTGTTTTACCTTTGTTAGATTCAGCTTGAAACAAAACTTTGTTAAATTTAAACAGCACTCCTCAAGACAAAAGATGTAAAATTTTATTTGTTCCCATCTAAACTGAGATAACAGTAATGTTCCAAGGAAGTTTGATTCTCTTATTTCATGAATTAATCATTTGTAGAAATCCCTTTGCTTCTGAACTTGCATTGTATTCTCCCAAAAGCATATATCACTTAGTAAATTGGATTTAGTAGTTAAGTTTCTTGCAAATATTTCAAAATATTTATTTGATCTTTCAGAACATAGTTCAGATAATTGCTGGGCTAGTGAAGCTTGATTTAATCTTTTTCATTGTACAGGTGAAACCAGGCACTGTATCATCACCATGAGGCATACCATTTTGATGCATTAAACTAATACAATTAAGATATTTCTAATAAAACTTCATTTGAGGAAATGTTAATTGTTATTAAGTTATTTGAAGTAATTTTGTGATGCTTTTCAAAAGCCTACAGTAGTTTGTACTCTTAACATATGATTATTTTGATTATCTTCAGAAGCCAACCTTTTTCTTCCCATGAAAATGTATCAGAACCTCAGTTCTCCTCATCTCCTTCACTTCACAGAGATTATGGATCTGATAATGATAACTTCAACAGAAGCTATAGGTAAATACAAGGTTTTATGTTGTTTTCTGATTTATACTGTTACTCTTACAGTATCCAACTAAAAAAAATACAAATTAACTGTGTTGTAAAAATTTATGTTAATGTTTTTTGCTTAAACCATTGAATCTGAACACTGAGCAAATAATGTGACTAAACTGTAAGTCCATCTATATCAGGCTTTATATAGGTTATAGTAGTTATGAAATTGTTTGAGAGTTCCTCACTTAAGTCAGGATGACAAGGAGAGTTTAAGCTAACTTATTATAAAATACAAAAAAAACTGTATTCAAAATACAAAAAAAAACCCTATGTTCAGTAAGCAAGAAATTGAACTACTGATATTATGTTTAACTCTTAGCTGATGTCTAACAATGAGCTGATGAGAAAGTATAAAGAAGAGTGAGGCAGACTCTTTTTTATGGTGTGTAGTGATAGGATAAGGGGCAACAGACTCTTGTTACACCATCAAAAATTCTGTAACTTATATGGAGAAAGGCTATTTTTTTGGGGATACAGAAATGCATTGCCTATAACAGCTGTGGAATCACCATCCTTTGAAATACCTTGAGCTCAGCTGGACATGGCCTCTGTGCAACCTTATATGATAAGAAAGAATTTGAGCAGAGGACTGGACTAGATGTTACTAGAGATCCCTTCCAATAATATTCATCTATGGTTTAGTGAAGGTAAAGATTTATAATCAGAAAGATTGTTCTCAATCAGCCTTATACACCATTTATTTTACAAAGTACTGTACTAGAGAGTGAAGAGAATCCATAAAAAAGTAAGTATATATGATATTTTGTAGATTCTTCTGTTGCAGAAGAATACAAAAATATTTTGCAATATAAATACATATATATACGTATAATGTTGCTTGAGACTATGTAACAGACAGCTACTGTTAAGTATTCTTCACAAAATGAAAACATGAATTCAGGAACAAAAATGGACCCTAAGTAAAGAAACCTTCAGAAAATAGGCAATTTTAATTAGAAACAGCAGTTGAAACACAAAGCATTTTCTAGTTCATTTATCTACTAAATTAAAAAAATATATTTCTAACATCTAAGATTTCAATTAGAGAGGATAAAAACAAAAGTAGAAATCTGAATTCTTGTTCTTTTAGGGCTAGGCAATTTTAATTTCAATGATTTCATGTTTACTCTTCCCACAGTAATCGAGCAAGCTGTCCTGAAGACAATAGGAGAGTGCATCCTTCAGATGAATTTAGCAGAGGAAAAAACAGATTTGCACCATATTCTTCATGTACAATGCATCCATCCTCATCTGTACATCAGGAAGATAATTCATTAGACTATGAAATAAAAACTTTTGAAGGTGAAACTACCAGAGAAATGGAACAAGGCAAAAGATTACCAGTTGTAACAGTTGATTACAACTATGGTCTGCCATTAGATTATGGACCTGAAGAGGAGGAGAGAACACCTTATGATTTACCTCCAAGAGACCATTACAGCTGGAACTGAATAAAAAAAGGCACTGTTTCCTAAGCTTAAGCTTGCATCAATCAGTTTTACTTTGTATGTTGGCCAGGGTTCTTTGTTTGGTTTTGGTTTTTTTACATGTTAGGGAAAAGCAAACTGCAGTAGTAGAGAACTGATCTCTACTGTAAGATTAGTTTCTACTTCCATATTTATTAGGGTGTTTGTTAAGTGTAGTTGGAGACAAGGTCTTGGTATACGTGGAATGAAAGTAGTCATTCCTCTTAGCGAAATTGAAGCCATGTACTCTAAACTATACAACTTTCTGAGTGATTCTAATTGTCTTTTGTTTTACATTTATTTAAAATGTATGTAATAGTAGGATGCTAAAGTCATAATAAAATAATGCACTATCAGGTAAACTACCATTAAGGTAATAGAAAAAAGTACTATGAAATGAATGAAATAAATTTATGTCAAGTTCATCTTTTAATAATAGCAGCTTGTTATTATTGCTAACAATCTCTGCAGCATTGCAGTTTAATTCCAGTCTTTCTGTACCAACAGAACTGACCTAGGTGTGTGATTTTTTTTTTTTTCCCAGATGGCTGAGAACTTGGAGGTGACTGGAGTTTTAACAGTGCAAATGTCAAACTTGTTTTTCAGCAACCAGAATATTCTATGCTGTGTTTTTTTTTTCCTAATTCCCTCAATTAAAATGCTTCAGAATAGCTCAATGCAAATGAATTTCACAATTTTCTTAGTAATGCATCCAAATGAGGCAGCTCACATTTATTAGCAGATTGCCTTTCTCAGAAGATTGCTTCTACGTATGTCCTTATAATTCCATGTTTGTCAGTCAAATGTGTCTCATTCTTCAGTTCTGTTTTCTACTGACTTCCTTTTACAGCACAGCAAGGTAATCAGAATGGAAGACTTAACTTGTTCAGGTAAGTTGCTTTTTAGAGTGGTGTATTGCAACAATCTCTTCTGAATTGTCACTTCACCTGGGCCTCAGGATAGTAGTGAAACAAAAGTAACAAAAATGATGCCAGCAGGTGTACAGCTGCAGCTGAAGTCCTACAGTTAAGAAACTGCTTTAGAGCAATATAGCTGTAAAGCAAAGCAAGAGAATATAAGTCTACTCTAGAACACTGCAGAAAGAGTGTGTTCATGGCAAGAACTCCATAGACCTTTTTTCCCTTTTGACTAGCAGCATAAAACAAACTTCTGAATTCAAGGGTCTATGACTACTATGTAAGGACTAGATTTAGGAAGACTGGAACATCTGGCAACTCTTCTGATTTTTAACACATGCAAAAAGTTCTAAACAAAGGATTCTGTACATATAAATTCAAAGTGCAAATATTTCATTGCCTGTGCAACTGGTAGAGCAACTTTGGCTTTGTTCATTATACGAAGTAAATCATTCCCTCATTTTTACAGCAGCTAGCCAATGGTATTTCCCATTAAATCTAGCTTTGTGAGCCTCATTCATATGTGCTCAGGAATGAAGCTGTCTGAATGTAATGTGATTCTGGAACTAAATGTTAAGAAAAAGGAACATTTCTTCCTTCATTTATTCTTTTAAAATGAAGAGTAAAATGAAAGTCTTTGTCTATGCTTCTTTATTTAGGGGAACGGAAGATCTGAAGCTTGGGCTACCATATAGCCAGATTCTTAAAATAATAACAAAACGCCAGTGAAAAAAAATCTTTGGTGCTATCCATGAGAGTTGAGATTTATGGACTGGTATTACAAGCATTTGTTCTCTTCTTACATTGTGTATGCAGTATTCATAAAGTGAACAAAGAGCAAATATTTGCTCTTTGTTTTTGGATTTGAAGTACCTTTTCAGGATTGAAATGACCCTACAGTCAATCCTTTCTTACTTCAGTCCAGAGGTGCTGAATGGCTGAAGAGCTGGTGCAATGCAAAACTTCATACGATGAGAAATGTGGCAGCTCCCTCAGGAATTAGGATGGATGATTGCCTTTAGTAATCTCAGCTCCTGCAGGACTGTTTGAGAGTTTCTGTTTGGGACTGGTCCCTGAAGTGCATCTTACCTCCTGAAGTATGCTGGGAATTGTTAGAGGAGAGTGTCAGTGGCACTGACTAAAACCTTTTGAGTTTGTTAGCATGGCAGATCATATTCCATTGCCAGGGAATGTACTGTGATTAGCAGGCATCCTCAGGAACAGAGAGTGCCTCTTAGTGTTGTAACCCCTGCAGCTAATTGTTGTGAGCAATCCAAACACAGTGCCCACCGCAAGCTACATCAAATGTGTGTGTTCTGTGTGTGGGGTGCTGCAATGCAGGAAGCCTCCCAGCTCACCACGTAGCAGTTGGTAGAAGCCAGTGACCCACTACTGGCTACCTTCAGTCAAAACTTAGTGGCTAGTGGCTTAGCAGGAGTACAACTGATGCTCAATTCTATAAAAATGATGTGCTAGGTAGCCCCAGTCTTGGAACTTTATGTGCAAATGTATCCAAAGTGGCTCTGTGTGGAGCCAGCTCTGTGCCACGTGCACTGCTTCCATAGCACCTAACAGCTGGGCCCAGGCTGCCTAAACCAGCTGGAAATGCAACCGCAGCACTGACAATAAAAATTATCTGTTAAACTGTGAATATTGATAATTTGATGCAGTGGCCTTCTTCAGATTAAGAGCCATTGGTGCATGAGGCTTAAAAATGTAACTAATAAAAATATTCTTCTTCAGTACAATAATGCATGATCCCATTTAGCATTTACAACATTTTTTTGGCTGCTTTATGTAGCAAGTAAAAGAAAATTATTGATAAACTCATCTTTTTTTTCTCTAGGCTGTAGTTGGTATAAGGAGTTAGTATTTCAGTGTCTAAAATGATTTGGTTATAAATATTGTAAAAACCCATGGTTCTGTAATTATATAGTGATGCTTGATATTTTTTACTCCAGTCATTTTCCCTAGAGATAAATAATGAGGACTTGCTTGAAGAGTTGGTAGGAGTATACTACAGGATGTTTTGCAGAAGACAACATGCAGGATCCTGAGCAACTTGCCTCTGAAGTCAGGGAGCATCTTGTAAGTAGGTATAGTTTCAGTATTGATGTAAAGATATACTGGCATTTTTGCATCCTTGGTGTAGTACTTAACAATTGTGCCCGTCACTCACTGCACAGTGGAAGATTGCTGTAGCTTGATCAGGACTCTGATAAGGCAGGCTAATAATAATGAACAGGTGATGTTTGTGCCACACAAATTTGCAGATGATTGTTGCCAGTAGATTACCCAACTATGAATTGTCAGCCTATGGTGGTTTCCCCAGGTGGGTGGAAATTGAAATTTATACTGAATAATCATGTTCACATTGACAAATATAATGGAATTGATGGCTGCAGCACCCTTTCAAGACCAATCATAGAGACTGCAATGGATTTAAGATGTTCCCTATCCCACCTTTGAAAGTTAGCATGTTAGGAGGATAAAGCACTGCAGAGTCCAGTGTTATAGGTACAGTCACACAGTGCAGCCCCTGCTGTCTGACAAAATAAATACCACTTTCATAATTGTGCTGGATTCCTCTTCTCAAGCAAAATTAATAGATGTGATGTTTCCACAAATGGCTTTGTAATGACTACATGGAAATAGCCAAGGGTGGTTTTATAAATATTTTTTTAGAACTCAGGACAAGGCTTTTCCCTCCCTATTGTTCTTGACAGAAGTTGGCAGAACTAAACCCACATAAAATGTTACTGAAAATTATCTCATGTTCCTCAGCTGAATCATTACTGCATAGTCTCTGTAGTATTCAATTACTAATTGATCCACATGGTGGCAAATGGAATTAAATAGAATGCTTTTTGTTCTTTTTAGCTGAATATTGTATTTCAGCAGCACTAAAATAAAATTCCTTCTCTTATATCTGTCATAGTTCTACAAAAACATCATGAAATCTTGTTGACCTCATTTATGGATTTTCCCAGTGAACCTAGAAATACCTCTGTAATATGGCATAGCAATGAAAAGCAGGACTTTTATGGAGAATGTTGTTTTCCTATGGCATCAAGTGTGAAATCTTGAAAAACAGAAGTTGTAAGAATTTAAATATATGTAACTATTAAACTCTGACTTCATATAAAAATTCCTTTTGTTACTGCCTTGAAGTGAATATTTAATTGGAGCCTGATTTTCAGCAGGCAGTGAAGCATACAGGTGAATAAAAAAGGAATTGCTTTTGTGTTGTTACCAACTACTGGTATGTGATTCCTCTCTAGGCTGACTCATATTTGCTTCAGCTGTCAGTGGAGTGTTCCTTCCTGTTCCAGTGGCTAGCAAGCACCAAACCCACAGATCTTTCTCTTCAGCTCCAGTCACCAAAGAAGCAGGTGAGGAAGTAACCTGGCTGTAGAACACAATATTGCCCTTTTTTCTTGAGGTGAAAAGGCAATGGGAAGGAGGGAGGACAGAAAATAACTGAGAAGAGAAAAATGAGCAGAGGAGTGAAAAGGAAAATGTCAGGAGGTGGAGAGTTACCAGTGTGAGAGAAGAAATGTGCAAGAGATGTGCATGTAAAAAACTGGCCAAAGATTACTGGGTATAAAAAGTGAACACAGGCTAGAGAAAGAGTTCCTACTAACTTCTTACCTGGGTCTTCCAGCAGTGTGAGCACTGTGCCTGTGTAAGCTACCAAACACATACAGCAGCATTCAGGCCTCTAATCCTTCCACGTGGGAGATTAAAACTAATTAAGGCTTTCCTTTAAGCTTTAAATATAATCTAGGTGTAGTATAATAGCCTGAAGATACACCCTCCAGAATCTAATGAGAATTTCAGACAATCAGATATGAAACTATGCCACAAATCTGTTTCACACATTGAAAACAATCCCATCTTTTGAGGAATTTGAGAATCCAGTCCATCTTATATATTACAAGTGCATATCTGACTTATTGCACACTCCCAGTATCAAAATGCACAATGAAGTTGCTGTAAGTATGCCCACTGCATAAAACTTACAGTTATGAATTAGAGTAATGTAGGAATTTGAAGCAGCAGCTTCACTAAGGACAGGAAGTAAGCCAGTGT